TCCCTCTTTCCTATCATCAGCAAAGAGCCAAACTCCTCCCCAGATTGATCCCAAGCTTTCATATCTGAGCTTCACCCCGGGTCAGAGGATTGGTGACATCAATCTGGGCAAGCTGGCCGTCAAAGGCAAGTGGGAGATGCTACGTGAGTTTGGTAAAAGAGGAAGTGGTCCAGGAAAGTTTGATGGGGTTGTAGATATTACTGCTACTCAACCTGGTGAGATTGCTGTGGCAGACTATAGGAACAAACGAGTGGTCATCTGCAGCAATGAGGGACAACACAAGGGAACCATTCCCCTACAACGTAAGTTTCTTTCATGCACATGTCCATCAACACAAACTTTCATAATTGTGTGGAAATTAAGTCTTCCATGTGCACATGCAGATCTGACAACTGAGAATGAAAACCAATTAAAAAACTGGCAAGGAATTGATGCGCTGGCAGTGCAAATTTGATTTTGTTCTCCCAGCAACTTAACTCTTCATGTCACCAAAAAAATTCTTATTTAGGGGGTCTGTAACCTTTAGAAAAGAGCGAAGTTACCTTTAGGTTGTTTCACAAAGAAACCAATCTGCCCTGTGAGTAGAGTGTTCTAGGCCTGATCCCTTTATTAAGCCCCCATCAAGATCAGCCTTCGGTTTTCTCTTTGTTCTTCTGTAGTGTTCGTGTTGGTGCTTTGCTTTTTTATGGACAATAATGCAGGCCCAGATAACCCAATAGGCACAGTAAGCACTGTGCCTACATGTACAAGTAGGTCCTACGAAAAATTTGGGGGCCTACATTGTTTTTTTTGTACACAAAATTTTGGGGCCTACGAAAATACCGCAGTGTGCCATTAAACACAAAAATAGGCCTACCCACACACACCCAAGTGTGTATTTGCTTACAATTGGGGACCCTTTATTGTCCCTATTTTGCTTGGTCTTTTTAAGACCAAGCAAAATAGGGGTTAACCTTCTGGGGTTAACTGTCAAAGTTTTTTGGTGAATTCAAAATACTGCGAAAGCAGCATGAGTTTTAAAACCAATGGAATTTCTCCCTTACGGTTCAAAGTACATTGTATGAAGACAAAACATTGTAAAACATGCACTGTTGTACAAAGATGTGACAAAAATGGTGATATACATGTACAATGACGTCACAGATTATCAAATAAAGAGTGATTTAAAGAGATACTGCATCCTGGAAAGCACCCCATTGGGCTACAAAGAGCATATTAACGTCCACACAAACATCCTTCCTAAACCCTCCTGGATGATTGAGGATGACTGGTGTTTGAAGAAGAAGAGGATTTTGGAGGATTGAGGATGGATGTATTTTTGAGGCAGGACTGTCTGACAATTTTGAAGGATTCAGGTGCTGGGTATCCTTCATTTGAACATGAAGTGCAATTTTTTTGAGGATTTTGAAAGAGGATGCATGCTTCCTGAGGGTTAGGGTTAAAAGTTGGCAGTGTGTGTGTTATTCTTGCAAGAATGAATTTCGGGGGTCATAAATTTTGACTCTCAAAATTGAGCTGTTTAGGTGCAGCGTGAATCCTGTCGCACACGTACACATAGTCTCACACACAGGATACCATATATTTGTGTACATTGAAATCGTCTGACATCATGGACACATATACAGTATAAAGCTTGTTTAAACTTGTTTGAACAGTTTTAAAACAAACCTTTTTTGTTATTTCAGGACAATGTGCCCCTTCAATGTCAAATCTTGACAACATTAACGTTCAGATTTATAAGGTTCTTTTGATGTGAGGTGGTAGACATTGAAATTGCCTTGAGCATCGTATTTGACTCCCAGGCACAAATCTGTTTGACCTTTGCTTCCAGGGTTACCGGATATGCAATGATCGGGGAGTCAGGTTGGCGTAGCGGTACTTTCCTTGCCTTCCACCGCTGTGACCTGGGTTCGAATCCCGCCTAGGACAATATGTGGATTGGGTTTTCAGTCCCTACCTGATTCCGTGGGTTTTCCCCAGAATATTCTTCTGGGCTTTTCCTCCCACCTCTAAAACTGTAACTTCTTCTCATTGTCTTCTCTCCATTTATCCATCCTGTTATTGGCGCTTGCGCTGTTGGATGTGGCTAAAATAAAATTTAAAACAATTTTAAAAATATAATGAATGTAACTTGAAAACACAAGCAGTTTACTACAATAAAACTTATTCAGGAAATGTTCAATGACAAATAACACTAGACTTATGTTTGTGGGCAAACACAGGGCTGTTTCGGTAACTTTTGTTCGACATATGTGACATATTTTCAAGACCATCCAGGAAGGATGTAGGTATACTAAATTGTGGCATATAAATATGTGATGACAGTCTCATAGGGCTTTAAATTATTACATCCCATGTTACGTAATGACATCCTGATGACGTCACATTAATTTTCATCTGAAACTAACTATAACAACATGCTGCTAGAGGGCGCTCTAACATTTCATGACGTCACCGTTAATTTAGAATAAACTAGCCACAACATACATCATTGAAAGCAATTCCACATCTTTAACCAATTTCAAATTACAAGTCACTTCCAGTTTCAAGAAGAAGGAAGGGTCATGTGATTTTGCGCATAATATCAAAATTGAAGACCCTGGATTATTCTATCAATTCCCGCAAAACTCAAGTTTAGGTTTCTCACGGTTGATTTTATATTGATTTTCATAGATTAGATCTACATACATTAATCTATAATGTAACGTCACATTTATATCATCGTGACGTCACTTAAATTTCATCTATAACACATCCCTTTCTAAAAATGTACATGCCAGGTTTCAACCAAATCGGGCCTGCAGTTTTGGAGATATAGGCTTTCAAAATATGAACCTATATTGTGAAGTCACGTGACTGGTGATGTCATGATGACACAGCAGCAGGTGCTGGTCTAAGCGTGTGCCAAAGGCAATCGGGTTGATTTTAGTGCCCAAAGTGCTGGGCACAATGAAAATGTGTACAAATGCTATGGACAAAAGTCTGAAAAAGAAAAAAACAAGAACAAAAAAATAACTTTAAAGAAACCTAGACTTATGTTTGTGGACAAAAACAGGGCTGTTTTGGATTTTTTTTGTGGCAAGTGACCATGGAAAGTTTCATGTATAAGTTACATCCAGGAACTAGTGAATATAATATGTGATTACATTCCCATAGGGCTTTGATTTTTGACATCACATGTGACGTCATAATGTCATGATGACGTCACATCAATTTTCATCTATAACTATATTTTGTTTGTAAATAACAACTAAGCCATAGCATACATCGTTGAAAGCAAGTTCACATCTTTCACCAATTTTAAATTTCAAGGCACTTCCGGTTCAACCGGAAGGAAGGGTCACGTGATTTTGCACATAATATAAAAAAAAATGAAGACCCTGGATTATTCTATCCATTCCTGTAAACGTCAAGTTCAGGTCTCTTACGGTTGATTGTATATAGATTTTTAAAGATCTATTAATCTTTAACGTGATGTCACGTGACCCATGATGACGTCATCGTGACGTCACTTCAATTTTCATCTATAACACATCCCGGTTTAGGTACATACCAACTTTCAACCCCATAGGACCTGTACGGTAGTTCAGGAGATATAGGCCTTCAAAATATATTTATTTTATATGACGTCATATGTCACATGATGACGTTGTCATGACGTCGAGTATTCATCTATAAGACATCCTGGTCTAGGTAAATACCAACTTTCAACCCAATCGGACCTGCAGTTGTGGAGATAGAGCCCATCTGTCAGATCTAGCCGAATTCTGCTAGAAAATGGTCACAACAGAAAAATTGCATATAATGTGACGTCACGTGACACATGATGACGTCAATGTTCGAGGATCAACTGCAGATGCTGGTCTAAGTGTGTGCCGAGTATAAAGGCAATCCGGTTGATTTTAGAGGCCAAAGTGCCAGTAACAAAAAAACTTGTACAAATGCTATGGGCAAAAATGACTGGAAAAAAAAAAGAAAAAAAAATCTTAACGAAAACAAGGCTGTTTCGGCCAGTTGCCAAAACAGCCAATAAAAACCATGAGGGCACCAGTGTAGCTTAAGTAAGCTCTAGCGGCATGTTTCAATAAGTTATATTTTTTTTCTTGGTATTTAAAGACCATTTGTCAACAATTTTTCAAATTGCTCATAAATATTCTTTGGACAATAAAAATACTTTCTCAAATTTCATAATGCTGACCTCATCAGACTAGAAGTCAATGTCGGGAAACTTTGGAAAAGATGCATTTAAGCCAGAAGTTACTTGACAAGTAAATAATAGTTTTTGAACGCTTGGACTAAAAATGCTTAAGTTCATTTCTTCCTTTTTTCTCTCTAAAACATACAACTGACGAATGTACTGTACCATAGTTTCACGCCCAACCACCCATTTTTTATAGACAAATGCAAACCTCAAGTAAATTCTGACATACAGCAGGCATTAGTGTACTTTGCAAGAACTGAGTTATTAATTCAAAGTTTTAAACTTTTGATAACTAAAAATTGCTCTATATTTTGTTCAATGCTTCATTTGAAAATCTAATAACTTTTTTTAGCTAAAAAATAAACAGTTAAATACAAGACTAAATATATTTGTAAGGTTTGAACCATGAGAATAGCACAGAGAGTACATGTACATCGAGGTACAGGTACAGGCACATGTTCATGTATTTGCAAACAGAGTCTCCAAGACGTGCCAGTTATTCACAACATGTATGGTGGTTGGAGACAACACAATGTTGATGTACTACTTGTACATGACCGGGCTTTGAGGCAGGCCATGTATTCATTAGGTATGTTGTATTTCATGGGGACTGAGAATAGTGACAGTGCATTTACATACTGTGCATATGTTACATTTGAGTTCTTCTTTACCCACAGGTCCACTGGCAGTTGCAGCCATCCACAATCCTGAGCAACGCTTGCTTGTGTTGGAAGATGGAAGCAAGTATGTCAAGGTGTTCAACATGAAGGACAACACTCTTGACTTCAAATTCCCAACAGTAGCACCGAGTGAGGTTGAGGAGACACAAGTGAACCTAAAGAGCACAACAGTCAGGACAAACGGTATTATTTTAGTAGGAGACATAGAAAGAATGGTGTGGACTGAACACAGACCCACTGATGGTGAGATCCTACACACCATACCAGTGCAGACTCCACCTCAATTCCTGGCTGTTGATGACGACACTGATAGAGTTGTGGTCAGTGGATTCCACACAAAGAAAGTGGATATTACCGACTGTAAAGGTTCTATACACACCACCATCAAACCAACTATCAATGGTGGGCCAGTGTGGTGTGATGGTGTATGCTGTGACAGCTCAGGCATCTACCTTGCAGTGGACCAAGGTGCAGCTGGCACTGGTCATATTCACCACTATGACCAAGATGGCAGGTTTCTTGATTGCGTGGATCAGGGTCTGTGTTTCCCACTTGGAATCACATTCACATCCAATGGCCAGCTGGCAGTGGCTGAACACTACTTCATCAAGATGTATCACAAGGTGTGATGTCATCCAACATGACATTGGCTAGCAATCATCATCATCCCAACAGCAAATGTTGAGGATGAAATTGTCCAGTCATTACAGCACCAATCAACATTCATGTCCCAGTCATATCACATCTCTCCTCAAAAATCCAAACTGCCAGATCCCTCTGATGTGAACCATTTTACCATACAAATTCTTAAATAAACAGTGCATCAATTACATTTTGTTACTATACAAAGTCTTATATAAACAGTGATTTGACTACAGCTACATTAGATTTGATTGGGGGACAATTTGTTTTAATCTTACATGCATGATGACTTGAATCTATTGTTTGTCTAAATTAAAAGGTAAATTTGAAAGGAGAGGGGAGTTTAGTGGGTGTTGAGGTGTTTGAATGTAATGACCCCCGCCTCCTCAACCCAACACCCCTCCCTCACCCAGTACATGGATTGCCATCAATCTATCCAATACTTACCAACTTTCTGTGGTGTTTATAAAACCCCGGCTTCCTTGTGGCTTCCGCTTCATCTCTGGCTCTAGATTCCTAAGAATCCTACCACATTCAAACTCAGTGAAAATGCACCAACCATCCATTGGCCTTGTGTGACAGGATTTTGTGTCTGTAATGAAGAAAATGGACCAATATAAAGTTTACATCAGCGTACAAAAATCATGAATCCCAAAGTCAAAGCCAGGGACAAAGCCAAGATTTCATAAACACAATTAAGATTCTTAAATTGTTCCTGATGGAAGTTGCTGTATATATTCTGCTATCTTTATAAACAAGACTTGAGAAATGTTTAGGATCATTTCGTTCTTGAGATTTAACATTCTTAACATTTATTTTGAATAATTATAACTTTACAAATGCATTACTCAGTTCAATTTTGTGTTAGGATTAGTGTTCAAGATAATGCATTACTCAGTTCAAATACGTGCATATTAGTGTTTAAGATAAGCCTTTATTCACTCAGTTAATTTTGTGTTACTTTTTTGCAGTTTCATGTACAGATTTAATTAATAAAACGCTGCTTTACAAGTCAATTGGCTTGTCCAAATGTATCCTAAAGATGAGTGACAAAGCTCATTCTATTAATGTGGTTTCAGATCTTCATTCACAGAATGGAGAATTGTGTTGACAGTGTTCATGAGGTTTATTTCTTGACCTCATCAGAGGCTTTAAATAGTACAAGCCAAAGCTGGAGACATAGCCAAGATTTCGAAAACTCCCTGGGATTCTGAAAATGGTTCCTAATGGAAAATCTACATGTAATCCATTATGTATTGTGCTTTTTAATAGAACTTTTGAGACAGTTTTACAAGCACTTCATCCTTGAGAAGTATTTTGTGATATACATTTTAAGCATGTACGTTCAGCACGACAGTTAGTACTCAGATTACTGTTCAATAAGCCTTTATTTACTCAGTTTTGACATTACTTTTTGCAGTTTCCGTTTACACATTTGAATTTACGATACGCTTACATGTATATTGAAGATAATTTACTCATTGAAATGTTTGCTAAAGATGAGTGAAAATTAATTTGGTTTCCTGTCTTAATTCACAGAATTAAGACTCATGTTTATCAGAATGTTTTTATCTTAATTTCAAATTCTGTTGACATTTGTTCTCAGACTGTCAAATATCCCTTCAGTTTGAATGATTAGAAATCAATTCGACTGAAGCTGAATTTCAGAAAGCTATACGGCCTGAGTTGCCTTGATTTTGGCCTGACGGCCACCTTGAAAAGGTCCCACACGTGTGGGACCTTTGTGGGACCTTTTCAAGGTGGCACACAAATAGCAAATTTCTAATTCACGTTTTTCGTCACAATCCATTTCAGAAAACTTGAAAATGAACAAAAATCATCAATTCAGTTTGTGTTTTAGCAACAATTATTTATTTGTTGCAAAGTATAAATCTTTTGTAAAAAAAATTAATGTTCAAATAGACTTTTAAGAGTTTAACAATTCACCACTGTATGTAGATCTTAGTAGTCACAACAAGACTTTGTAAATTCCCTTTATGTGTATATTCTTCAATTTGTTCCTAATAGAACATATACATCTACTCATTGTATACTGTGCTATCTTTACATTACATTTTCTGATAATAGAAATTACAGCCTGTACGTTTAATTATTCTGTATTTCTGTTAACTTCACTTTTTAAAGCCATGTAGGATCATTTGCAATTACCCAGATAAGCACCTACCGATTTAATGACAGAAACTTCAAAGTGAAGAACTATAGGACTGGTAACAAACACCCTGTGAAATAATTCCACCTGAAATGGTATTGTCAGAAAACAAACATTGAAGGTGGTTTCAAAATGGGGTGCCTACAGAATCCAGTTACGAGATCCAAAGACTTGTGCATTATGTTTTCTCTGTTTTCTCCAAATTACATAGTAACCACTCAGCTAAGACTTGAACAGAATGCTTGTTATGCACCCTACTTAAAATATTGAACACTTTTGTTGCCTCAGGAAAAAAAAAAAAACCTGCAAAGAGCAAATGATCCTATGCACAATATACCTTTACACAATCAAAATTAATCAAGATTACTTTAAAAATTAGTCTTTTAATATTCACTAAGTTTTGCAAACTTTACTCACAAGGGATTATCTTGATGGAAATTTGTACTATTTTCTTTGAAGGTTACAAATTTCAAGTGTGAAAGGTTGCCAAACATTTTAACAAATTTTCAAATCAATGGTATTGAATTTCAGGAAGCTATGGCCTCTGTTGCCTTGATTTTTGCCTGACTGCCTCCTTGAAATGTCCTTGCCCTTCCAAGAATTAAATTCCAGATCTCTGTTTTCATTGTTGTACCTATTTGGTTGCCATTTCAACTTGAAATTAATGAAAACAATTATACTAATCACTGCAGTTTTTAGGTTTAACAAAGAATTATAAATTTTCAAGAAACTTTTCAAACTCTACTGTAATTAATTCTATTCAAATTTAATGTATAATTTTGAAATGAGCAGAAATAAATGCATTCATCCTTTTTCATGTTTTTAGTCCCTGGGATAAGGCCATTTATTAGCAAAATTGTATGATTAGTCTTTTAAATATTATTTTGTTGAACTAAACCTTATGACATCCCAAACTCTGACTTGCACAGCTGGTATTTGTGCCTTCCAGCTCAAACAACTGTAATCTCTGATGCTAAATTTGTGAAAAACATCTTAAAATAATGTTTTGGGCCACTGCTCTCACCAAAAATGGCTTCATCGTGACCTGTTTTCTCTTTTTACCATCTTGATAGGATGGGTAAACATGGCTGGTCCCAATTGTATCCACATTGGTGGTTTCTGAAGGCATATTGCTTTAAAGGACAGCCACGAAACTCTGTGACTTTACCCTATTTGGGGACACTTGTAATGAGTTCAAAACACATATACATCTAGTTATTCTTTACTCTAAACATGCCAGCTAGCTTGGTGAACAAAGTGGATTTTCATGAGTCTTGCGGGAAAGGGGTCCAGAAGTAGGCTTGCGACTATGGTTTCTCAACTTACTTTCTCTCTATTAAAGTGAAGCCCTTTTCACACTAGACAAATCTCGGGGTTGGCGTAGGGTTGAAAACATGTATCGTTTCACACTTTAAGAATTTCAACCATGTGTCAACCCTGAGATTGATTTCACCACGGGTTGAACTCAACCCTGCTCCTGACCAGGGTTGAGATTTTCAACCCAGGTTGAAATTTTGGCCAGGGTTCAAAACAGTAGTACCTGAGCATGACAAGCTTGATTTGCATGAAACAAGTGTGAAATGATGTGGGGTTGAACACAGGGTTGAAATAAAAAACTCAACCCAGGGCGGCACTGGGTTCACCCAGGGTTGAGTTCAACCCAGGTTGAGAGGCTCTAGTGTGAAAAGGGCTGAAAAGTTGGTTCTAGTTGCCCCATCTCCCCTCCCTCTAAAAAAGTCAAACCCCCCCTCCCCCCCCCTCCCCATGAATGGGGCAACTTAATAAATGATCACATTTGGCTTACCAAGAAGTGACTGCTTGTAGTGACGGCCATCCCACACGGTTGCATCCTTTCCACACGACCGCCATACAGGACTGCTCTGGCTGATTCTCAATTTTCAGGGGTCAAATAACATCATTCAAAGTCTGTTGGTAACAAAATCAGAGTCTATAATGCTTCGGCATGAAATAGTGCAAGGATGGATGATCAAGTCAAATGGAACATTTGTCAGTGAAATACATGTTTTCACTCTTTCTTTTGTTCAGTTTGAGGTCGATTATTAGCTTCATGAATGACTGCTGCATGGTATTTGGTATGGATTAGGGAATTTGGGTTGGGATAATCAGCCTGAAACATTACCAAAAAAACCCTGAAACTACCCTTAAAATTACCCCCTTTCAAAAAGTGGTTTTTTTTATGTTTCAGACCAAATCCAACATTTTTTAATTTGTCTTATAAAAAAAAAAAAAACTCTGAATTCAGGTTAACCTAAAAAGTGGCATCCTAGATTAATAGAGGGAAAATGGACTATTTTGGAATACACTGGAGATATATGGTCCTGGATTTCCGGCCTCTTACGATCTAGATTTTTTAACGTAGTTGTGCCTCCAGCTCTAATTGCAATAAGCATTGGAGCTGGAGTTACAAACAGTGAAACGCTGCTATAACAAACATGGTGGAGTCGACTGACAGTATTCGTTATAGTGGTTGTTCGTTATAGCATGGTTATATTGATTTTGCATTAACTATAATAAAATTTACTATTTTGGGAGCCCATGGGGATTATTTGTTATAGTCAAATAATGTTTGTTATAGTGGTGTTCGTTATACAATGCCACGTTCAAGGCTAATACTATACATTTGTATATAGTGGCGTTTCACTGCATGAGATATGGATTAAAGAATCTTGGTTGGGATAATAGAGGGAAAATGGACCATTTTTGCAACACTGGGGGATATACACGGTCCCGGATCTCGGGCATCTTACGATCTAGTTTTTTTTAACGTAGTTCTGCCTCCTGCTCTAATTTAATGCGATAAATAAGCATTGGAGCTGGAGTTTCTCAAGTTAACTCAAGCTATATGCGTCCAAAAAAAAAAAGATAGTGGATATTTTGCCGGAGGTAATGCCGGCAAACTAACGTTTACTAAAGGTTTGCCGGTGGCAATCATCATATCAACAGAGGGCGCAGTACTCTTTAGATAGGGCTGAATTATACAATGTATTAAATTCCCACCAAAAGTTGTGTAGCACACTAGGTGTAGTGGTTAAGCAAAGGCCCTTGTGAGAGGGATGACCTGGATTCGATCCCGATCCCTGCCACATTTCTAAGGTTTCTTTGGGGGGGGGGGGGGATGGCCCAAATAAATAAGAATATCCTTCTTTTGTTATTTTAACATGTCTCAAACATTTTATTGCAGAGTATTACATTTTCTTTTTCAGATTTGTTGCTCTGGAGGATTTATTTTTAAAGTGAAATAAAGTCCGAAATTATAAAAATGGTCTGATTCCTATCTTGTGAATACGAAGTTAATATTGGCATGGAGCCAGACTAAAATTTGTCACCGGAAAATGTTTAAGTACCAAAAAACAGTAGGCCTAACTGCACATGTTCAGTGCATATGCTGCAAACTAACGTTTGGCCGTCTCCGGCAAAATATCCACTGCCATAAAAAAATCATTTTCTGACAAACTTTTAGTCCAAGTAACTTGGACCCAACTTATCGCCTTAACATACGGGCATGGTCTAGCGATAGTGGGGTCCAAGCTAATGGTTTATGCAGAGCAACACAATTCTGTCACTGACCCAAAAACCCAACATTGCCCAACAAAAACATCAGATTTCACCCTCAAAATGGCCTCCAAATTACTAAATACGCCACCTGAGGTACAAGTAGACGTCGATAATTAAGATGGTTGTACTGAAGTTTACTTACGATCCAGATGAAAAGTGAAATTTTCTGTTCAATTCCGAGAGCTCCCCTCACGATCGTGAACACGTTAATTTTCCGATTCATGTTAATGTTTGAACGACGCGATGTCGTCTTCATGCCCACGTACATTCGATGGTTCCTGTATCCCGAGTACGATTCCGTTACCGGGCGCGCGCCATGCATCGATTATGATGAGTAGAAAATTTCACAATCGATCTTGAGGGGAGCTCTCGGAATTGAATGGGAATTTTCACTTTTCACCCGGATTGTAAGTAAACTTCAGTACAACTACAAGCATCTTAATTATCGATGTCTACTTGTACCTCAGGTGGCGTATCTAGTAATTTGGAGGCCGTTTTGAGGTAAAATCTCATGTTTTTATTGGGCTATGTTAGGTTTTTTGGGTTAGTGACAGAATTGTGTTGCTGGGCATACAGCATTAGCTCGGACCCCACTAATATCACCAGACCATGTCCGAATGTTAAAAAGGCAATAAGTTGGGTCAAAGTTACTCGGACTAACAAACTTTTAAGTACTGTGTAAGTAAAGATAATGATGGTTTATCAGAATTTATCAACCAAAGATTCTGAGGCATTGACTTTGGAGTTTTTATAGTTTTGTTTTATTCAAGCACGCCACATTTACTGAGCCGATTTTGTGCCCAATTTCCGGACGCCACCGTTTTCAAAGTTGCATTTCGGACTCAATTTAAAGACACTGAAATTGTTCACAAGGGTTCAACAAAAAGCATAATTAAAGTAACTAATAGTACCAGCATTTTAATGAATGAAGTTGAAGTTCGTCAACGAAGAAATTTGGCAACCCAAATCGGGGAGCGTAATTTTTTTTCCTAGGAGGGTTAGGGGCAATGTCATGAATAATTCAGTTTTTCCTTTGAATCATTGCAAGACTTAGCTTCTCGTTCTATTTCCCCTTAATTTAAAATTATATCAGTGATAAATTTGGAGAAGAAAAATAGCTGATGAAAATGAACAGCGACGAAGTGGATTCGAACCAGGGATCTTTGTATCCATAAGCTAATCTCGCTATCCACTAGGCTACTGTGTGGTAGCTCGACGACAACTGTTCTTTTAAAATGCTTTAATGTATTGTAACTAGTTGATTAACTAACAACAATGCTGTTGATGTCATTGTCCGTTCTCATGGATAAACATGAATTATTCATGACATTGCCCCTAACCCTCCTAGGAATAAAAATTACGCAATCGGGGAAACGTCGTTGTGCCTTACGTTAACGCCAGAAAACAGATAACACGTGCTGTCCGCCACAGGCATGTTTATCAAATGGTGGCGCTCTTCACAATTAAAGGAGTCAAGTCTATCCTCGTTCTCTTCTAGTCAAGCGGTACGCCCTCGCTGCTATAGTACTATTGGAAACAAATTGAAAGTAAAGTTCACCCTGGGGACTATGGCATGTGTCGTTTCAGTACAATGGTAAAATCCTTATTAACGGTGGTTGTGAACTCTTTTGAAATAAGTTAACATTTTAGTCGGCAAAATTAAAAGTGTGCCCACGGAAAACGTCTTTTTTTCGCACCACTCTACTGCTTGATTTGTTTTAAATATAGTGTTTGATGTTCCCTTTCGCAATTTAATGTGGACTTCCTCATGATGACATCACGACCAAACATTGAGCCAAATTTGAGTTCATAACACGTGGCACTTTTGAAAATGTACCTCTTTAAGCCAGTGTGTTGTGTTTTCAACCAAATGAATTGACTTTAATTGGGATGAATTTTTCGCGCTGTCACCACTCTACTGCTCTAAGAGCATTAAATATAGTGTTTGATGTTCCATGTTGAAATGTAATGCCCTTGTGACACAATTAAGCCTATTGAAATTAGAGGGTAGCTGTCTAAAATGAATTTAATATGATTAAAATAAATAGTGTGCTCATGAGAAAGCGTTGAACAACACAAATTATATCTGACTGAAACAATATAGTGTTTAATTAAAGGCAAAAAAATACAATCCGAATCAATTTTCATGGAAAATGGCAACATGATCCTCTTGAAAACTAAGAAAATTATGGCCGTTTTACTTTTTTGAAAGTCTTTTGTTTCACTAGTTTACAAGATTTTTATGAAAAGGGACGCGCCTGACAAAAGAGTCTAGCACAAAGACAAATTTATGTGCCTTACTTTAATCTTACTTTAATCCCCCCACAGTTAATTGAGAAGGGCGCCCTCAGAATGCAAGATGTCTACGTCCAACTAGAACTACAGAGGGCGCCTGTCAAACTGGTCGATCGTAAACAAAAGTCATGCATGTCATGAAAGTTGTGGACGAAACTCCTGAAGTTCAGCAAGAGAGGGAACGTTTTGGGAAAGAACGTTGCAACGTTGACGCACATTTTCTTCATATATCATGTTAATAAAGGTCAGTCATTGTAAAAATATTTAAAATATATGAATCTGGGACTGAGAATCAATTCCAATTTGGTTAAAACTTAAATTGAGAATCTTCTTGAGAATCTTCTTGAATTTCCGTAAACTTTGTACACAAACGCTGAATACTGCATTCTTACCTTCCTTTTGTTTAGTATTTTGTGGAAAGAAGGGAATGTTTTTGATTTATGAGGGAAATTTTGGGGTAAAAGAGGAAGACAACTAGAAAAAGGGTTCAAAAATACAAGATGCTAACTTTGAAAGCTCATTGAATGCTCGATGCTGATCATGCTGATTGGTAGCCCCATAAATGTGGCCTATTTACTGGACTGCCTCCGTAAACATAGGCCACACATCCACATGTACAAAAAACATGTCGACTTAGCCAAATTTAGATTTTCACATTTAGGCTTACTTTTTACGTTTTTTTTGCTTTAGAAGTATTCTCACCCTCTATATAGGCTAATCAGAAAGTGCTGCCTTTTTCAGATGTTCATTTTTCGTGAAATTTCCAGATACATTTGCACACGTTTGCGTATCAAAATTTCAACATGAAATTTCACAAAAATTAAACATCTGAAAAAGGCAGCACTTTCTGATTAGCCTATATAGAGGGTGAGAATGCTTCTAAAGCAAAAAAAATCTACAAAGTAAGCCTAAATGTGAAAATCAAAAATTTGGCAAAGTCGACACGTTTTTTGTACATGTGGATGTGTGGCCTATGTTTACGGAGGCAGTCCAGTAAATAGGCCACATTTATGGGGCTAGCTGATTGGCTGATAAAAAAATTAATATTTTT